TGTGCAGGGGGCGGCTGGTCGATGTTTCTCTCTCATTGATGTTTCTAGCTCTCTATCCCTCTCCCTTCCTTTCTGTGAAAAATCAGTAAAACATATTTAAAAATAATAATAAAAAATAAAATAAGCTGCAAAACTGCTTTCTCTGGAGCACTTTCTTTTTATTATTATTATTTTTTTAAATATATTTTTTTATTGATTTTATACAGAGAGGAAGGGAGAGAGATAGAGAGTTAGAAACATCGATGAGAGAGAGTCATCGATCAGCTGCCTCCTGCACACCCCGCACTGGGGATATGCCCGCAACCAAGGCACATGCCTCTGACTGGAATCGAACCCGGGACCCTTCAGTCCCCAAGCCGACGCTCTATCCATTGAGCCAAACCGGTCCCGGCTGGAGCACTTTCTTAATCGCTTGAGATTTTGCTTCCCAGCAATTGTCAGTTTTCTCAAGTCAACTCATAAAACCCTCTGCGGGTTTGGATGCTTCTTACCTCCACACAGGAGTTAAGGAGGCTCGAGAGGAGGAACTCATTGATTGAATGCTTACTGGAAACCCTCACTCTGGCCTGGTGCCTCAGCTGCTCTTTTAGGATTACAATCTTGACTCCATGGCCAGAAAACGGACTCAGGAGAAAGAGCCGCAGGAAGGCTGGTGTGCTTTGTCTGTGTGGTCCCCACATCCCACTTTCCCACGGGGCGGATGCAATGCTGCCTGGGAAACAATGTCCTTGGAAATGACGCTGCTTCGGAAGTTCTGGGAAGTGGAGGTGCTTTCTGGAAAAGGTGCCGAAGTGTGGAGAGCACGCAGGGACAGCAGAGGGCTGGCCAGATTCTACAAGACTCTGCGGTTCGCTGTGATCCAGCAGGAGAAGGAAACTGAGGAGAACTGCCCTTGTTCCAGGGACTCTTGCTGGTGGCCTCACAGTGTGGAAAGGAGACTTCCTAAAATGAGGCCTTCGGTCCGCATGAACTGACCTTTCACTGAGTGGTTTTGTTATCAGCATAATTAGCTAGTCACTAATATTAATAATAGGAGGAGCGCAAAGGCAGAGTCAGACACTGTGAGCATGGTCATCTGGCAGCTTCACCAGGAAGCTACAGCTCCATGCTCCCAGGGAATCTCCGCTCCACTCCCTGCAGGTCACTGGGGGCGGGACCAAACTGCTGGGGAGGTGGGCACGTGCACCGTGACGTCAGTGACAAAGGGGAGGGGCTTGCCTGACAGTGTGGCCTGGGAAACAGTGGATTGGCTAAAGGGTGAAGCCCTTCAGAAACACACAAAACCTTGGAAAGTTAAAAGTCCGGGAAGAGCTCCCTCCCCTTTTCTCTATCGCTCCCTGTGTTTGAGGGTGCTCTCTCCACAGCCACGGGGCCTGAAGCAGCCGATGGCCATGGCCATGGGGACCCCACACCCAGTGGGCTGTAGTTGGAAACAGAAGCTAAGCCAGCAGATGCTGGACTGGACTTCAATCATGTGGAACAGAAATCCTGGGCAGTGGCCTTATTCTGGCCCTGCTGGACTTCTTCCATGACAAGACAGACAGAGATGGGAGTCTGGAGAGGAACCCCCTTAATTTTACATCATTAATAAAGCTTTCGCTGAAAACCCATCATCCCGTGGGGGCCTCAGGAAATTATTTTCCTCATGGCACCCCAAGACCTCCACTTCCCCTGAGAGTAGTGTGAGACAGACCAGACAGCCCGCACAAGTGGAATGGGAAACTGACAAAGCTGAAAAAACTGGCTGAGCCATTTACAGCCGGATACAGAAGGTCACCTGACTAGACATAACATCTAGGCCTTAGTTGTAGTTCAGCTCCAGGCTCAGAAAAGCAGAAAAACCAGGTGGGCCTGTATGGGAGAACATATTTGCAAATGTTACCACTAATAAAGGTTTAATCTCCAAAATCTATGAACAGCTTATACAACTAAATAAAAGGAAGATGAATGATCCAATTAAAAAATGGGCAATGGACCTAAATAGAATATTTTCAAAAGAAGACATAAGGAAGGCCAAAGGGCACATGAAAACATGCTCAAAGTCACTAATTATCCAAGAGATGCAAATCAAAACAACAATTCGGTACCATCTCACACCTGTCAGAATGGCCAACATCAACAAATCAACAAATGACAAGTGTTGGCGAGGTTGTGGAGAAAAAGGAACCCTCGTGCACTGCTGGTGGGAATGCAGACTGGTGCAGCCACTGTGGAGAACAGTGTGGAGTTTCCTCAAAAAACTGAAAATGGAACTCCCATTTGACCCAGTAATCCCACTCCTAGGAATATATCCCAAGAAACTAGAAACACCAATCAGAAAGGATATATGCATCCCTATGTTCATAGCAGCACAATCTACAATAGCTAGAATTTGGAAACAGCCTAGGTGCCCGTCAGCAGATGATTGGATCAGAAAACTATGGTACATCTATACAATGGAATACTATGATGCCATAAAAAAGAAGGAATTCTCATCATTTGCAGCAACCTGGATGGAATTGAAGAACATCATGCTGAGTGAAATAAGCCAATCAATGAAAGAGAAACATCACATGACCTCACTCATTTATGGATAATAAAGAACATTATAAACTGATGAACCAAAAGATAGATATAGAGACAGTAAAGCAACATGCAGACTGTCAAATTACAGCGGGGAGGGTAGGGAGATCTGGGGGAGATAATAGATCAACCGAAGGACTTGTATACATGCATATAAATACAACCAATGGACACAAAACTCTGGGGAGGGAGGGTATGAATGGGGGGGGAATGATAAGATATGTACACAGATAATAATTTAATTAAAAAAATAAAAATAAAAAAATAAACTGAGTAAACAGCCAAAAAAAAAAAAAAAAAAAAAAAAAAGAAAGAAAAACCAGGTGGGCAATGCCAGGACCAGCGACAGCGACTAACGACCCTGCCCTGGCACTGACCAATCAGTGGAGACCAAGCCCCTGGAAGAAACTGATGGCTATCCTGCTGAAACCCTCTCCTGAGACCTCCTCTAAGACTCCCGCCTGCAGGAGAGATAAAAGCCGCAAGATAAAGAACCCAGCTGGCCAAAACTGGTTTGGCTCAGTGGATAGAGCATCAGCCTGCGGACTGAAAAATCCAGGGTTCGATTCCGATCAAGGGCATGTACCTTGGGTTGCGGGCACATTCCCAGTAGGGGATGTGCAAGAGGCAGCTGATTGATGATTCTCTCTCATCAGTGTCTCTAACTCTCTATCCCTCTCTCTTCCTCTCTGTGAAAAATCAATACTAGGGGAGCAATGGCAGGGGCAGGTCATCCCAGGCTGGTCCCCTGAACCTGTCTCTGAGGCCCTCTTCCCTGACTCCCGGAGAGCTGAGGCCATCCAGCACAGGCTCTGCTGCTGCTTCCTCTACCCTCACCTAAGCCCTTCCGGTTCTCTGTCCCCAGCTTTAATGAGTGTACCCTCACACTCCCTGGGCTTGTGGAATGTTTCCACACAAAGTCAAGAATTCACTCACTTCCGGCTGGCCCTCGTAAGCCCGCTCAGGGGCAGGTTAGGGTGCGCGGGGGTTTGCTCCCCATGATGCCCACCTGTGACTCCCCTACAGCGACTCCTAGTTAAGGCAGATCTACCTACAGATAAACATGCAGTGTGTGTGGAGGGGGAAGGCAATGTAAGAAACATTTCTATGTGGATTAGCCTGAAGCATACAATCTAAGCGGCCGCTTTGCTAGCTATGCTTAGCAGTAAACAGGTTGCTTTCACTTGTGCTGAGCATGCGTAGGAGCTCCCAGGAAGCCCAGCCCGGGGCCTTCCTTCCCCAGCCTCGCTCTCTACAGGAGCTTGACAGTCACAGGGGATAATAATGTCGGGAAAAGTGCTGAGTGAGGGGTTTGGGATGAGGAATTGCTCAGGGTGTCTTGGTTGGCTAGTTGTATTCATTTCTCGGTGTGTTTTATCAAGCCAGCTCTCATCCATTCGAAAAGGAAAAGGGTGGGCAGGCTTGTGAGGACATTTTGTGGTCGTGTTGATCTGCAGCTATTAACACGAGATAAGCACCTTAGATAAAGCTGTTCAGCCACCAGCCAGCAGCGGCGGCCGTGGTGTAATGGAAACAACGCGGACCTGGGCACTGTGTAATCCCGGGCAGGGTTTCCAACTTCCTCCTCTCTAAGGCGGGACTGGGAGTGCCTCCTCCCGTTTGTGGCTGTGAGGGCTGAGGAGGGTGCAGACCCCTCAGCTCCAGGGTGTGCGCTGGCCCTATAATTTACATCTCAATTCAGGGCTCTGACTCCTACAGCTGCTTTCCTGGGTGAGTCAACCTCAAGCAGGAAATGCCTTGGTCCCCAGGGGTTCTAAGTTTCACCTCGGTAGCTGAGTGTTCGAAGTTTCCAGCCTAAAAAGTGCTTTTGGCTTAAAAGCTTAGAATTGTCAAAGATGTTCATCACAAACATATCTGATAGTGAAAAGATGGGCAACAATTTGAATGTTTTTTCAGCAGTTAATTGTAGAATAAATCAGCATGGTTATGTGATAGAGTACACCTGCTTTTATTGATTTTAAAGAGAGAGGAAGGGAGAGGGGGAGTGAGAGAAACCCTCCGGGGACGGAGCCCTGAAACCCAGGCCTGCGCGCTGCCTGGGACTGGAACCTGCGACCTCTGGGTGCGTGTGACTCGGCTCCACCAACCGGGCCGCACCGGCCAGGGGTAACGTTGCTTTGGGTAATATTTAGTAACAAGAAAATGCTTGTGATGAAACATTAAAGAAAAGCAATAAACAAAGCTTATACAACATGACGTCACTCCCGAGAAACAAGCGAAATGCGTGTAAAGGCAAAGGAGCGCCAAGAGCACGCACTTCCCGCCGGGCGTCGGGGGCGGTGGGATGAGTGCTTTTCGCCCCGTATTTGTGTGTTTTTAAGTTCCCGTCAGTGAGCACGCTTTGCCTTTAAAATTTAAAGCCGAACATAGGCCAGCGAATCGGTCGGGCCGAGGCGGGCGGGCCGGGCGGGCGGACCTCCCTCCCCGGCGGCGGGCGGGGCGGGGCGGGGCGGAGGCAGAGCCCAGAGCCCAGCCCGGCCGCGCGGGCGCCGCCACTTGCGACGCCAGGAGGCCGGGAACCGCCGCCGGATCGGATCCGCCAGGCAAGCGGGGCCGGCCGCCGGGTCGGGGTCGGGGTCGGGGTCGGGGTCGGGTCCGGGTCCGGGTCCGGGTCCGGGTCCGGGCAGGCGCCGGGGCCCCGAACTTTGTGAGCGCGGCGGGCCGTCGCGCCCGGCCCCGGGGCCAGGACGCCGCGCGCGGCTGGAGTCCCGCCTTCCCTCGCGCCCGGCCTGCGGCGCCGCCCGTGTCTTTGCGGGCCGAGCGGCGGGCGGGCCGGGGTTGGGGTGTCTGTGCCCCTTCCTGGCGCGCCTGGCGCAGGGCGTGTCCGCGGGGCCAGCCCGCTGCGCGCGAGCGAGGGCTGATGGCTCCGCTGGGGGACCCCGGCCCCAGGCTGCCCTGCCAGCCCGGGCAGACAGGGGAAGGGCGCGGGGCGGCGGGGAGGCACAGGGTGGCCGGGGCAGACAGGGGAAGGGCGCGGGGCGGCGGGGAGGCACAGGGTGGCCCGGGGCAGACAGGTGAAAAGCACTGGTCAGTGGGGGAGGCACAGGGTGGCCCGGGGCAGACAGGGGAAGGGCGCGGGGCGGCGGGGAGGCACAGGGTGGCCGGGGCAGACAGGGGAAGGGCGCGGGGCGGCGGGGAGGCACAGGGTGGCCCGGGGCAGACAGGGGAAGGGCGCGGGGCGGCGGGGAGGCACAGGGTGGCCCGGGGCAGACAGGGGAAGGGCGCGGGGCGGCGCGGAGGCACAGGGTGGCCCGGGGCAGACAGGTGCAGACAGGTAGACGTGGGGGAAAGACAGGGTGGAAGTAGTGAGCAGCCCTGTCCTGGGCGGGGAGCGGGCACCTCCCTCACCTCGGCTTTGTCTCACCTTGCTGCTTCCTGCCACTTCCCCGGGCTGGGCTGGAGAGCCACAGGGGCAGCATTGTTCTCCGGCCTCTCTGGGTCGGAGTAGAAAGCCAGCAGGAAAATGAAAGGGGTAAACAAGTGAGCCTGGGGAGGGAGCCAGGGCCAGCGGGAGGGCGACTGGAGGAAGGATGCTGGAGTCCTGGCCCTGATCCTGTGGGTTCTCACCAGTTCTTGTCCCAGGGGCTCTCTACCGGCTCAGCTCAGCCTGCCGTGGCCGCCAGCCGTGGGGTTCTGCCCGGGGAACCTGGACCGGGGCAAGTAGGAGCAGGCCTGGGAGCCAGGGTCAGAGCCGCACACAGGTGTCCAGTTCTCTGGGCTCTGAAATATTCATCTCATGGGTGAGCTTTGGTTTCAAAGCTGGTGCTCTGGCCTGGCCACTGGTGCAGGGGAGCGAGGTGCTTCCTGGGGCCGCTTTGTCTGGGACACAGGCAGCGTACTTCCTCCTCACCTGCCTGCGCTCCCTGCCTCCCAGCCATGCGGACCCAGACACCCAGGTTGTCCCTTAGAAAAAAGCGTCAAGGGCCCTGACTTACTGTCTCCGTGTGCCATGAGCTCAGGGCCTCTCCTGTAAAAATGGGCGCCTCGGAGAGGTAATGATGGGTTACACTAAGTGTGGGGAGAGCCTCATGTCAGGCCGAGGTAATAGGCACCTCAGTGTAGCCTCCTCCGTGGGAATGGGGGCCTGAGCTGCCAGCTGTCCACCTCCGAGCACTTCCACCCCCAACCCCTCACCCTGGGCCTCAGAAAGAGCAGAGGCCCCGAGAAGGGACGCCCTGTGTGTCTGCAGAGGATGCGCTGGGAGGCCAGGGAGCGGGAGCTTGAGCTCACACAGCTCTCAGGGAAGGCCCCGCCAGCAAAATGATGCGGGCTTTCTGGAGTGTTCTATTGGGAATGCCTGGGAGGGCATGGCCTCAACAGGCTCTTCCAACCCTGAGATTCGGGGATTCTAAGCTAACACCTGGGTGTGAGTGTTTGAAGTGGAAGTGATATCCGGAAGTCCACAGTGCTGGGTACCAGGCGGCACTCACTGCAGTGGGCAGGGAGGAAGATAAGAAGGGGTCCCTCTTGTGTGTAACGATGTATTTTTCCGGTTACATTAAGGTGAGGTCAGGGAACGCCAGCCTCCTGGCTCTGCGCTAGTTGGAGATGTCACCCGGCAGTGGCAGTAACTCCTGCTGTGGAGATTATAATAGCAGCTTGGGGGGCAGGGGAGGGGAGAGAGGAAGGCGCCCACAGAGGACCCATCCTGGCCCTGAGCCAGCTGACTGTGAGAGGGGGCACACTTAATGTGCCTGCTCGGAGAGGCTGTGTGTGAGGGCCGAGGGTTTAAGATAGGAAGAGTTAGTCAATAACATTGTAGTGCATGTTTGAAAGTTGCTGAGTAAATCTTAAATGTTCTTATCACAAAAAATAAAATTTTGTAAGTTTGTATGGTGATGGATGATAATATTGTGACCATTGTGCAGTACATATAAATATTGAATTATTACATTGTATACCTGACACTTACATAATGTTATGTGTCATTTATACTTCAATTGGAAAAAAAAATGAGAAGGTTTCAGTTTTGATCCCAATTCAGGGCACATACAGAAAGTAACCAATGAATTCATAAATAAATGAAACAACAAATCCATGTTTCTCTCTCTCTTTCTCTTTCTCTTCCTTCTTCTCTCTAAAATCAATAAATAGTCCAGCTAGTGCGACTCAGTGGCTGAGTGTCAACCCATGAACCAGGAGGTCTCGGTTCAATTTTAGGTCAGGGCACAGGGTGTGGGGTCCATGGGGGGGAGGAGAGGAGAGGATGGGGGAAGATGGTGCAGGAGGCAGCCAATCAATGAGTCTCTCTCATCGTTGATGTTTCTCCCTCGCCTTTCCTGTCTGAAATCAATTAAAAATACTTTAAAAAGTCAATAAATAAACATTAAGGGAAAAAAATAAAGGTATGAGGAGTTAGGACATGAGTCATTCTCAGGGTTGGGTCTATCTGTAAAACAAAGGTGGCCTGCTCAGCATCCATAGGTAGGTGTGCTTTGATAAAAATGTTTCGGGTTTGAGAAAGTTTGAAGGACCGCAGTTAAACAAAGCTGAACAGGTTTGCTCACTGCAGGACTTCTCAGCAGCCTACTATGCCACTGTGCGTGTGCATTCCCAAAAGGGGATGTGGAATGCTTTTCAGACTGATCTGTTCTCAGCGCATCCATTCCCATCTCCTGGGCTTTTAAAAAAATATATATATATTTTATTGATTTTTTACAGAGAGGAAGGGAGAGAGAGTCAGAAACATCGACAAGAGAGAAACATCTATCAGCTGCCTCCTGCACACCCCCCTACTGGGGATGTGCCTGCAACCAGGGTACATGCCCTTGACCGGAATCGAACCTGGGACCCTTCAGTCCACAGGCCGACGCTCTCTCCACTGAGCCAAACCAGCTAGGGCTGGGCTGCGTTCTTGAGAGCAGTCCAGGGAAGGCCTGGGTGATGCTCCTAGCTCTCCACTCTCTGGTCCCAGTAGCAAGCCCCTCCTCCTCTCCCCACCTGGCCTGATTTGGGAGAAAAGGAAGCCAGGGGAGGTCATTTGCATGGATTCCCACAACTAGTTAGTGGTAGTTAGAACTCAAACCCAGGTCTCTGGCTTCCTGCCTCAGTCTTTCTTTTCTAGTGTTACCTAGTTTTTCTCCAGGTTGGGGCGAGTGAGCTCCTAGGAGATGCTGGCTTAGGGTTCAGGGCAGCTCCGGAGGAGAAGTTTTGGCCACTCCCATTCCCAGAACATGCCACATGCCCTTGCCTCGGTAGACGGTCATCAGAACAGTTAACATGAGTAGTGGCCTCGGCCTAGATTCTTCGGGAAGGAGGTCACTCTGCCCTGCAGGCTCCTGCTCGGGTTTGCTTGGGCTGTCCATTCAGACCATTCAGAATCAGACCGGCAGAGTTGGCGTGGACTCTGGCCTTCGGCTCAGTGTGCTCATTCACTGGTGAGAAGACTGAGCCCGGGATGTGAAGGGGCCTCCCCTGACTCACACGGTGGTCAGGACCTGGGCAGGACAAGAGCTCAGCTCCCTGCCTCCTGACCCAGGCCCTGGCCCGGATGGACTTCTACAAGGGGGAGGGGCTGGTATCTGCAGCAAAGATCTCCTCCACCTCAGCCGCCCTGGGTGCTGACCTCATCAGCACGTGACTGGCGGGTGTCTCAGAGGCATCTGCTCTGGGCAGGTGTAAAGTCAGACACCGGATTTAGGTTCAAACCCATCTCTGCTGTCCACCCGCTCTGGGACCTTCGATCTGTTTTTCTCCGAATTTCAGTTTTGACATCCGTAGAGTGGGAATAAGGATATGCATCTCACCCAGCTGGTGTGGTTCAGTGGTTGAGCATTGACCTATGACCAGGAGGTCATGGTTTGATTCCCAATCAGGGCACATGCCTGGGTTGCAGGCTCGAGTCCCAATAGGGGGTGTGCCAGAGGTGATTCTCTCTCACCACTGATGCTTCTCCCTGTCCCTCTCTGAAATCAATATAAAAAGAATATGCACCTCAAGTCTTGCGTGCTAAGTACACAGTACTCACTACTTACTGTGAGTGATTCTCCTCTCCCTGCTGCCTAGTGGCTTCCTCGTTGCCTACACTGCACTCCCAGCCTCTGACCACTGGCTTGCCCGGGTCAGTTCTGTCCTCAGTGAAGCATATGGGGGAGCTGTGGGTGCCTGGGTCCCCTGCTCTCCAGGGCAGCGTGGAGACGGGAGCCCCCTCTCGCTCTGACCGGAGTGAGCGCCGGGTTAGGCCTGGCCTGGGAAGGAAGTCATGGCTGACAGTTCTATTTCTGAGCAGGAGGCAGAGGAGTGGGAAATGAGTGGACTGTTGTGGCTCTGCCTCAGGGTGTGTGCTGCCTTCTGTTTCTCTGAGTTCTCAGACAGTGGGCAGGGCTGGGAATGACGCTCCAAACCCATGACCCAGAGGACTTGTCGTGGGCCGGGACAGGAACTTTCTTGGCTCTGGGAGTTCCTAGTCTGTCACGTGACCAGATGATTTCTAAAGTCCAGCCCCGTTCTGATGTTTCAGTTTTGAGATCCACTCAGCATCATCCTGTTAATCCCAGGGGCCGGGCGGAGAGGGTAAGTGGATTCTGGGCCCACTGGTCCGGGT